CCCTTTTTTAAAAAAAACAAAAAAAAAAAAAAAAAAAAAAAAAAAGAATTAACAAATGCTGTGGATCAGAAAGTTTGGTTTTGGTTTTGGGTTTTTTTGGTCTTTTTGAGACAGGGTCTCCCTGTAGCCCCAGCTGGCCTACAACTTGCTTTGTAGATCAGGCTAGCCTTGAACTCACAAGAGCTCTGTGTGCCTCTGCCTCCCAAGTGCTAGAGGATCAGAAAGTTCTTTATAAAGGTGGATCCCAGCTGTGTGTTGCAGTGTTTAAAACACTCTTCAACAGAAAAGCAGTGGTTTTCCTGGTATTAGGAAAACCAGTCCTTGATAGAAAGTACCTATGCTTTACTTCGTGGTTTTTTTGTTTTTGTGTTTTGAGACAGTATTCTGTACATAGCCTTGGCCTTGAACCTACAGAGATCCACCTGCCTCTGCCTCCCAAGTGCCAAATTAAAGGCATGTGTTACCATGCTTAGCCTCCATACTTTGCTTTTTGAACTCTTTCTGAGGCTTGCCATGGGATTCTACAAAATGTTTGCCTTCTGTGCTGGGCATGGTGGCACAGGCCTTTGATCCCAGCACTTGGGAGGCAGAAGCAGGCGGATCTCTGTGAGTTCAAGGCCAGGCTGGTCTACATAGTGAGTCCCAGGACAGCTGGGGCTTCAGGGAGATCCTGTCTCAAAAGGACCAAAAAAAAAAAAAAAAAAAACCCTTGTTTGCCTTCTGTGACTCAAGCAGGTAACCACCAGGTGAAGCATGAAGCCCAGCAGTCTGTGTACGTCAAGCCACTGAGTCCTGACACCAGAGCTGCCAGTCTTCCTGAAAATTCTCCTTCCAAACCAATGAAGGTATTGGTGGTGCTTTATCTTTGCATCTTGGGACACAGGTTACTAGAACAGTGGGTTGTCTATTTATCAACATCTTCATCATAACCTGTTTTTGCTTTCCTGGAGATTATGCCAAGTAAAGGTACACCGAAGAATGACTTTGGTTTGTCATGGCGGCTCACACCTATGATCCCAGCACTCAGGAAGCTAAAGCAGGAGGATTACTGTGAGTTCAAAGTTGAGACAGAAGGATTGTCACAAGTTGAGGCCAGTCTGGGCTACACAGTGAGTTCTGGGCTATAGAGTGTCTCAAAAACAAAATCAGACAAATGGGCTGGGGAGATGGCTCATAAACATGAAGACCTAAATTGGGCTCTCTCAGCACCCACAGGAAAAGCCAGGCATGGCCGTGCATGACTATAGTTCCAGCACTAGAGAGGCAGAGGAAGGGGTGTATCTGAGGCTCAGTGGCTTGAGGAAGACACCTGACACTGACCTCCACATGCACATAAAGAATTGAACTTTCTCCTAGATTTCAGTCAGGGTTGTTAACTGAATTGAACGTTTGCTGATGAAGTGCTACTTCACCAGTCAGGGTGAATAACTAACAAGTACACTTTGGCTGCCTTTCTCCTCGGCTGCTTTTGCACAGCTGGGTTTGTTTAACAATTCTTAGCTTGAGAGAAACTAAAAGGTAGAATTAGTGTAGGGCGGTCTGTGCTGTTCCACCCCACACACATATCTGCTGTGCTTATTTCTCTTCACTGTGTGTGACTGGTTCTTAGATTAACATTTTAGTGCACAAAAAAAGATGAAGAAAAGAAGACATAAGTAAGTGAAACAAAAACAGGAAACAGGAGAAGCCAGCATTTAAAGGGCGGATTAAGACGGTGGGAACAAGAAAATAAAGGTGAAAATGTAGAGGACACAGAGATTTATGAGGAAAGTAAGATTTACTGAAACAACAGAAGCTCAAGAAAGAAGCAAGAGAGAACTGGCACATTTCCTAAGAGTGAACTCAGAGGCCTCAGGCGCAGCTCAGTATTAGAGTACAGGTTTAGCAGGTGTAAGACCCTGGGTTCCATCCCCAGCACCAAAGTGAATATATACAGAAAAGAGAATGGAGCTCAGAATCGAATCTGCATGTATGCCCACCTGTCTCTGCCACCATCAGCATAAGGTCCAACAGAGTAGCCAGTGCCACAGGACTGCTTTCCTCTCTAGTAGCAACTGTGCCCAAACATGAATACTTGGGTTAGGGTTCTGGGTCAGGGAATCGATAAAAGTGCCAGGACAGTAGCTGAGGGGTACAGTGCTTGCCTAGATTCTATCCCTAGAGCTCGTTAAGAAAGGGGGTGAGGGAAATGCAGTGAGATGACTGAGCAGGTAAAGGCACTTGCCACCAAACTTGCATGTAGAGAGCAGAGGACAACTTGAGAGAGTTGGTTCTCTCCTTCCTTCATGTGTGTTTTAGGGATCAAACTTAGGCAGTCAAGTTCTAGGCCATCTGGAGCTACAGGAAAGCCCTGTCTCAAAAAATGACCAAATAGGGCTTGAGAGATAGCTCAGCAGTTAAGAACACTGGTTGTTCTTGCAGAAGACCTGGGTTCAAATCCCAGCACCCACATGGCAGCTAACAACTGTCCGTAACTCCAGTCGCAAAGGATCCAACAGCCTCTTCTCACCTCCATGGGCATTGCACAACATGGGTACACTTACCTACATGCAGGCAATACACACATATACATAAAATAAAAATAATAGATAATTTTTTAAATGACCAAATAAAAAAATAATTAAAATCTGGTCTTGAATATTTGAATTCTTACGACCTTGCTTCCCTCTTTTGTCTGTTTGGCCAGATAACTTGGCTGGGTCAGGCTGACTCAGTGCTGTGTTAAATCCCCCTGATTCACACCCCAGGCTGTGAGCCCATGAGTGCTGTGTAAAAGGACACATCTCACATCTCTGGTCTTGGGTATACCAGAGAGAGGAGATGGGCGTAGACCTCTCTGTGCCTGCCTCAGACCTACACCTCTGCCTTCATACTCACACCTCAGAGTTTGAAAAATTGTGCAAACTGGAGTAAGTTCCTATGTTTGTCAGTAGTCCAATGTTCAAAATATCATGGTGTGAGAGCCTTAGATGGAGCCCAGTTACATCTCTACTTTGTTTAGGGGCAATTTATTTCCTCTTGCTCAGAGTTCCCCCTATAGTCTGCAGGCAAGTGAGATACTTTAGTAAATGTGTTCAGAAAGACCTGCTGGCGTGACTGGTCTCATGGCTCTGGACTCTGCAACAGAAGTTATTTCTCCACTTTGGGAAATTACATGCAACTAAGAATACATTTGCTTACTCAGAATAGGTTTTTGGATCCCACGCATCCTGAAAAAAAAAAAAAAATGTTCTTAGTGCCTGTTACTGAAAAATAGGACATTCAAGGTAAAGACTGAATTCAAATTTGTTTCATAAAGTAAAAAATATATATAGCAGGGAGACTGTATACCTTGGATACTGGCCACATAGCTCAGTTGGTGAGACTTGGTACTAATGAAGTTGAAGTTGTAGGTTATTTCTCAAAGATGATGCTGTTCTGACAGAATTTGGTGGAACTGGGACAATGATTTTTTTTTTTGTTATGTGTTTATACTCTGTGTGTGTGTGTATGTGTGAGAGAGAGAGAGAGAGAGAGAGAGAGAGAGAGAGAGAGAGAGAGTGTCACTTTGTAGCCCAGACTGGCCTAAATCCACTATTTAGTCCAGGGTTACCTAAAACTTGTGATCTTCTTGTGTCTGCCTCCAAAGTGAAAGGTTTATGGACATTTACCAACATGCCTGTCTTCAGCAGTTTTCAAATATCAGAGAAGGCATGAGGGGTAACTAGCCCTGAGGGTGACCTGCTTGCCTGCATTGTGCCAGGACAGCCCAATCCCAGACCTTCTCAGATGGTCCTGCTGATGGATGTGGAAAGAAAGCACAACAAACTGCTTTAAAGGACAAGCTGTGCCGGGCATGGTGGTGCACACCTTTAGTTAGTCCCAGCACTCTGGAGACACAGGCAGGCAGATTTCAAGGCCAGCCTGGTCTACAAAGGGAGTTCTAGGCCAGCTGGGGCTGCAGAGACATCCTGTCTCAAAAAGACCGAAAAAAAAAGGACAAGCTATACAATCCACTCTTCGTGGCCGTCCAGCCATCCCTGTGGACAGGATAGGAGGCTTTATGGTTTTGTTTTATGGTAGGGCCTCACATATGATAAGCAAGCCCTCTCTGAGCCACACCCCCAGCCTGTTTTATGATATTTTATAAAGCTATTAGAATTATGCTAGAAGGCACTACCCTTTCCTCTGTATGTAGAGCCATCTGTTTAGGATATGAATGGTCCCAAGAAAGCTTTCACAGAGGGAAGCTACAGCTGCACAGAGCCGGCCCATTCATTTACTATGTGGAAAAGAATTTCAGTTTTACTATCTAGATATTTTGTACAAATTGGAAGTAAGGAATGAATGACATTTGATGAATGGCATCTGATGAATGGAGGTCTGACATCAGTGCAGAATTCTCTTCTGATTTCACTATGTCTAAAGGCCTAGTTTAACTGCCTGTTGCCAGCTGCTTCCCCTTGTGACCCCCCCACACTCAGATCTTCCCCAACTGGGGCCTTCATTAAACTGAAAAATATAAGACAAAAGGGTGAAAGAGTATATAGATGAAGCCATGCAGATGTATTAGAAAATAGCTTTAAGTAGATCATCAACAGAAGGCCTGTAATATCCTTCATATGGGAAAGACGGTGTTTATGAACATAAATTATTTATGTATTACCTCATTCATTCCACAATATCCAGAAGATATCTGCACATTTTAATTTGAAACCAAGTGAAGACTATAGCTTGTTCAATGTGTGATAGTGAGATTATTTTCATTTGGGTAAGCATCTGCTCTCTTTTCCAAAGAGTTCCCTTTAGTTATGGAAATGTAACAACCCAGGACAGTTTAGAAAATAGCCTTTTCATTTGTGAGTTAGGAGGTCTGGGTTTTAATTCTAATTCTGTTCTTGACTATGTTTTTAACTTTGATAAGACACAAGATATCCCAGATACTTCAGTATCTACATGTGAAAGATAGTGGAGAAAAAGGAATGAGAAAAACATTGTCACTTGCTAAATGAGAAAATATATTGTAAAAATTAAGAACGTCCAACATCCTGCTGTTGGCAGTGTTTCAAACATGGCTGTGCCAAGACTGAGCCTATCACGGAGGCATGGGCAGGAAGCATGCCAGGCCTCTGATAATGGGAAAGAGTTTTGGGCACTGACTATGCTTCCTGTTGTCTGAATAGACGTGAGGGAAATTACAGGAAAGTGGCTGAGAGCCCAGCACAGAGAATTAAAGGGAAGGCACAGCACAACCACTATGACTTGGCGTGTTACCATGCTGGGAGCCTCTTAAACTTTATGACAATATAAGGTCCCCTGAGTAACTGCTGCATAAACCTTAAATAATAGCAAAATAGGATTACTTGAGACATGAATAGAAGTCATCGAAACCTGGTAGATATGGCCAGGCAGAAACTTGTGGTCAATCAGTTGTTTGTGGTAGCAGTCTGTTAATGTGATGTTAAGGAGGAGGGTGACTTTGTACTTGTGTGGGTGAGGCTCCATTAAAGAGAGAGCCATTGTGGGTCAGGTGTGGGTGGTAGTAAAGCCCTGAAGAATTATTAATGAGACACTCCTTGTGTGGGTGAAGGCTCATAAAAGGTCTCTCCTGAGCAGGCATGTGTCCAGGTAGATCTCAGCCAGGCTGATTTTTGCCTCCCTTGGCAGAATTGTTTAGACGAGACTGTGGTCTTATTTTTGGATCTGAGTCTCTGAACTTGAGCTCAGCTGTAGTCAAGTGCTCCAGGGCACACCAAATGCTGTGTATTCACTGAAGGCTCCTGTTTGTCTCCTTACAGCTTCTGCTTCCTGCTCCTGGTACCTAATTTCTGCTCCTGCCTTCCACTTTTCTCCTAACGTGAGCTCAACTTTCACTTTTCTCAGGTTCTCCCTTCTGTTCACTGCACCCTTCTCAATGTGTCCCTTCCTCTGTGTGTGGAACAGAGCGTCCACATGCTCTGTATTCCCCGTTCCCCTTATCTTCATACATATATTTAAAGTGTTAAAACGCAAGATCCCGAGGGCTGGAGTGATGGCTCAGCAGTTAAGAGTTCTGGCTGCTCTTGCATAGGATCTGGGTTCAGTTCCCAGCACCCACATGGAGGCTAACAACCATCTATAACTCCAGTTCCAAGGGATCTCAAGCCCTCTTCTGACCTCCGCAGCATTGCATGACACAGGTGCACTTACCTACATGAAGGTAATATACTCATAAACATAAAATAAAAATAATAAATTAAAAACAAAAACACAGGATCTTGGGGCTGGAGAGATAGCTCAGAGGTTAAGAGCTCTGGCTGCTCTTGTATAGGACCCGGGTTGGGTTCCTAGCACCCACATGGCAGCTAACAAATTTTATTCTTCATTTTAGTCTGTCTCCTGCTTGCTAGGCAAGATACTACCTAGTCCTTTTAGAGAAAACATGATTAAAATGATGCAAAGAAGACATCTCTCTTTAGATCTAATCTTGTTAGAATGACCATTTTAAAAGAATTCTGATCTCCAGATGATGCCTTAATGACGGCCAACAGTACGTACTACAATAACATTAGATCCCTTTTAAATACGTCCTTCTGCTTTGTAAACTAGGTTGTCACATCTGGGCTTTTGGTGATTAAGTTTTTCTTCTTTTTTTTTTTTTCTTTTTTGAGACAGGGTCTCCCTGTAGCCTCAACTGGCCTGGAGCTCACTCTGTAGACCAGGCTGCCCTTGAACTCACAGAGATCCACCTGCCTCTGCCTTCTGAGTGCTGGGATTAAAGACATGTGGCACCACACCTGGCAAGTTTTTCTTCTTAGGACTCTGCTAGGCGCAGGAGACTGCTGTTAACTAGCCCCTTCCACTGGTTTTGCTATTTCAAATCCTTTAAGTGCTATTTGGGAGTTTACCACTCATTTTATTAAACTCCCTTTTATAGATCATCTTTACTTCCATTTTATGTTTATTTTCTACTTCCTATCCCTATTTTTTCTCTCCTAGTAAATTATGTGGCAAGTAACCTATCAGTATGATTTAAAAAAAAAAAAAAAATACAGGCTCTCACAGGCTGGCCAGGAGCTCCCTATGTAGACCAGGCTGACCTCAAACTCAAAGAGATTCGACCTGCCTCCTAAGTGTTAGGATTATAGGCAAAAGCTTTCATGTCCCCCTCCCCCAAATTAGGTTTTTAAATCTCAGGTCTATTTTACCAATAACCTGATCTTTTTAGCCTTATCCAAATTCAGTCCTGGGCCTCGGGATTAATTTGCATTATTTACCACCTTATGTTTTCTCATGAGACCCCAAATCCATCTAGGCCCCCACAAAGGACCTAGGTGCTGTGAGAACTTCCTGGCTACCAGCTGAGTTGTTGTTTGTATTGAAGCAAGTCAGGGGCCACACACAGGACTTCTCTTTTTGTTGTTTTGGTTTGGTTTGATTTGGTTTTAGTTTTTTCGAGACTGGGTCACCCTGAAACCCCAGCTGGCCTGGAACTTACTATATAGACCAGACTGTCCTCAGTCTCACAGAGATTCGACTGCTGAGATTAAAGGCATGAGCTACCATGCCTGGCTTCATTTTTTTTTTTTTTTGGACAGGGTCTCACTATGTAGCCCTGGCTAGCCTTGAATTCTCTTTGTAGACCAGGCTGTCCTTGAACTCACAGAGATCCGCTCACCGCTCACTTTTGCCTCCCCAGTGCTGGGATTAAAGGCCACACAGCTTCTTACCACCTCCCCTTAGCAGCTCCCAACACTTTTTATCCTGTTAATGCTTATAATGTTTTTGGAATTCTGGCTTTTATCAGTGCTAGTATACCAACTGTCATACATACTTACGATGTTTGGGGGGAGTGAGGAGACAGAATCTCTTGAAGTTCAGGCTGGCTTCCCACTCACTGGCTGCATGATTGAGGATAACCTTGAACTTCTGATCCTCCTGCCTCCACCTCCCAAGTGTTGGAATTAGAGGCCTGCCTGCACCACCATGCTCGGTTTTATTTGGTGTTGGGGACTGATCCCTGAGCTCTGTTTGTCATCACTCTGCTGACTGAGCTACATCCCCAGCCCCCAAACCTTACATTTTTAAAAAAATTGAATTATCGAGTTGAACCAAAGTGACACTTACTCCATACTTCACAAGTAGTTCGTGACTTCCTAGTCATTAACTAATACATTCCCATTATATTACTTTATTATCTATATTGGTTTTCAGAATTATTATGCCAACTATAGCTTTATTAGGCTATACTTTCTTCTGGAAGCCTAATAATATAGTTTGTATCTCTTAAAAATTATTTCATTGGTGCTGGGTGTGGTGGCACACACCTTTAGTCCCAGCATTTGGGAGGCAGAGGCAGGCGGATCAGTCTCTGTGAGTTCGAGGCCAGCCTGGTCTACAAAGTGAGTTCCAGGCCAACTGGGGCTACAGGGAGACCCTGTCTCAAAAGGGCAAAAAAGAAAAATATTTATTTGTGTGTCAGCTTGTCTAAAAATATGCCTAACTTGGGGTGGGCAAGATGGCTTAGCAGGTAAAGACACTTGCTGCCAAACCTGAGGACCTGAGGTTTTGATCCCTTGAACCCACTTGGTAGAGAGACCTAACTCCTGAAAGTTGTTCTCTGACCTCCACATGCACACTGTAGAACCTGTGTTGTTGTTGTTGTTTTCATAAGCCATAACTTGGGTGCAATAGTGCATGCCTATAATCTCAGCACTTGGGTAGTAGAGGTGGGAGGATTGGGGTTCTACGTCATTCCTGACAGCATAATGAGTCTCAAGAAAATGTTTTTAAAACCCACCCAAAGAGTAATAAAAGATGCTTTATAGAAACTGAAATGCCTTTACCTAGTGTCTAAAGCTTAATGCTCTTCCTCTCCTTCAAAGTTAGCCCCTTGGGCTCTATTAGTCTGCTCTGCTTTTACCAGCCACTTGCTACTTGAATCCAACTTTTCTTCTGTGTTATTTCATTATCTTCTATTTCCTGCCCTTCTAACCACTGTCCCTGCTCTTAACATTTTGTGTTCTGTCTCTGTCTCTGTCTCTGTCTCTGTCTCTCTCTCTCTGCTCTCTCCTCTCTCTTTCCTCTCTCTGTGGGAGTCGGGGTTGTCCACACCTTGTTCAACAATCCAGCCCAAGCTCTGCTATACTTAGAGCAGCCAGGCAATTTGGGGCAGGAAGTCAGGAGAGGTTCCCAGCAAGTCAGCTGATAGAATCTGAGCAGGTGTAGTTCCATGAGATAAGTTAAGTCCTGGGCCCATCAGCAGAGTACTAGCTGATCACTGTTGATGCTAAAATTGTCCTTTTCCTAACCCCTAGAAGTTTCAGGCACCTGCAAAAGAGACGTGTGTGGAATGCCAGAAGACTGTCTACCCCATGGAACGCCTCTTGGCCAACCAGCAGGTGTTTCACGTCAGCTGCTTTCGTTGCTCCTACTGCAACAACAAACTTAGGTAAGTCAGACCCAAATGGGCCATCTCTGTATAGGCAGAGCTCCGGAGGGAATCTTGGGAATCTTTAGAACACTAGTACTAGTACTAGCTGTTGTATTAATGGGGCTGAACTGGAGGCTCCTGGTAAAGTAAAAAGCACTGGCCAGTGGCAACTCTTTTCTACCAAATAATGGTGTTTAGGACTTTTTGATTCATTGGTATGTTCATTTACCTTAGAACTGAAGCTTAAATAAATAATATGAACTGCAACTGAAGCCCCTTCTGATGGAATTTATTAGAATGCATCAAAGAATTATAAACTTGAGAAATCTCAAGAGGTGCCAAACCTGGTAGCACAGAGCTATAACCTCAATTACTGTGAGAAGCAGAGACAGGAAGCTCTCAAGTTTAAGGCCTGCCTTGGAACTTAGTGAGACCCTGTCTCAAAATAAAAAGTAAAAAAGCAGCTGGGGATGATTGCCCAGCATACATAAAGTCCTAGGTTCAATCCCCAGTACTGAAGAAATAATGAAAGAAGTGGGCAAAGAGGAAGGGAGGGAAGGGAAGGAATACAAAAGTAAAAATAACAATGTGGAAAACTGGGGAAATATTCTATATTAATTCATTTTAATCCCCTCAGAAAAGTCTCAAAAAAGACTGAAAAAAAAAAAAAACTGATGTGAAGCTGGGCTTGATGATGTACACCTTTAGTCCCAGCACTTGGGAGGCAGAGGCAGGCAGATCTCTCTCTGAGTTCAAAGCCAGCCTGGTCCATGTAGTGAATTCCAGGCCAGCTGGGACTACAGGGAGATCCTGTCTCAAAAAGTCCAAAATAAATAAATAAATAAATAAAATCAAATATAATATAAAAATAAAATAAAAACTGGTGTGCCAGGTATAGTGGTGTGCTCCTGTAACCTCAGCACCCAGGAGACTGAAACAGAAGGAGCTGAGTCAAGGCCAGCCTGGGCTACACAGTGAGTTCCAGGCCAATAAAAGCTACATACCAAGTATCAATCTTAAGCAAAAGCAAGAAAATACTTAAGAGGGTAAGGAATCATATGATAGGTCATTGATGTGCCTGGGCTGGGTATATAGCACAGTTAGTACTGTGTTTGCCTGGCATGTACAAGACCTTAAATTCAATCCCCAGTACAAAAAAAAAAAAAAAAGATATCTCTTACCATCCCTGAACAATGCTGGAGCTGCCAGATTAAAGCTTGCTGGTATAGATGAGTGTGAAGATTCACTAACTGTATGTTCATTTTCTTTTGATGACAGTCTAGGAACATATGCATCTTTACATGGGAGAATTTATTGCAAGCCTCACTTCAATCAGCTCTTTAAGTCCAAAGGCAACTATGATGAAGGCTTTGGGCATAGACCACACAAAGATCTATGGGCAAACAAAAGTGAAAATGAAGAGACTTTGGAGAGACCAGCCCAGCCTCCAAACGCAGGGGACACGTCTCGTAGCCCAGGGGTAGAAGACGCCCCCATTGCTAAGGTGGGCTTGCTGGCTGCAAGTATGGAAGCCAAGGCCTCCTCTCAGCGGGAGAAGGAGGACAAACCGGCTGAAACCAAGAAGCTGAAGATCGCCTGGCCACCCCCAACTGAACTCAGCAGTTCAGGAAGTGCCTTGGAGGAAGGGCTCAAAGTATCTAAGCCCAAGTGGCCTCCCGAGGATGAAATCAGCAAAGCCACAGAAGAAGTGGATCTGGATCTGAAGAAGCTAAGGCGATCTTCGTCTCTGAAGGAACGGAGCCGCCCGTTCACTGTGGCGGCATCGCTTCGAACCTCTTCTGTCAAGAGCCCCAAAACATTGTCCCCACTGATCAAGAAAGGTTGGAGCATGTCAGAGCAGAGTGAGTTTGCAGGGGGGATGATGACAGAAGGGAGACAGGTGGAAGACGCCAAGGTCTCTGGGAAGAATGGGAATGTGGGAAAAACAAGCTGGCCATTGGAAGAACTGGAGGGAGAAGAGGCTGGGGGAAGGGGCAGGGGCATTCACAGTCTGCAGCTGGGGAGTGGGCATCGCATAGGAAATGGTGCAAGCACAGACGAAAATGACAGTGACTCCCTCCAACAGCAGTCTCCACTTGAACCCAGGTCTCCAAATTGGTCCAGCTTTGTAGACAACACGGCCACTAAAGAATTTACTCTGCAGAATCAGAAATCCCAGGATGTTGGCTTCTGGGAGGGAGAAATGGTCAAAGAGCTGTCTGTGGAAGAACAGATAAAAAGAAACAGGTATTATGACGAGGAAGAAGATGAAGAATGATGTATTGCAGCGGTGCTGGGCCTTAAATTCACATTAGTGCTAGTGACCCACTGCCCTTTATCAAAGGGGTGCGTAGAAACAAATATCTTGGCATGAACTGTCATTTATGTGGAAGCAACTTTGGAAATGAATTCCTGCTACCAAAACAAAACAAAAGTAAAACATACTGCAGCTGAACTGAACTAATTCTAACTGCTGGAGGTAAAGTTTTTTAAATCCTCCACTTTGCTAAGCAGGGGGATTTTCCTGCTGGTGCCATCCAGATTCCATTACATTCCCAAAGGCAATATTAAAGGAGCTAGGTAATTAGGAGCACAGTTTTTACACTACAAATAACAATTCTGGAATTAAGGAACACACAGAATGAATTTAGGGGTTATCTATTGTGACTGGAAGCACTTTAGTATAAAGCGCACAGTTTGTATATTTTTAAATGAATACCAATTTAATTTTTTAGTACTCATTTGTTGAGATCAAATATTTAGTCTTTTAAAACTTTTTGATCAGTTCTTACTCTGGTATATATGGGAAATTTATTACTCTGCATTCTGCTCTCTTGTATTTGGGCCAGCAAGATGGCTCAGTGGGTAGAGGCACTTGCTGGGCATGCCTGACCACCTATGTTGGATTCCTGGAGCCCGTGTAAAGGCAGAAAGAGAGAACTAACTCTACAAAGTTGTCCTCTGACTTCCACACCTGTGCCATTGCACACACACCTATGTATACATCATAAATATCATTATAATTTTTTTTAAAAATAACACTTAGCCAGGTATGATTGCACATATCTTTAGTCCCAGCACACCAGGGGCAAAAGCAGGTGAATCTCTGTGGGTTTGAGACCAGCTTGATCTGCATAATGAATTCCAGGCCAGCCAAGGCAATATAGTTCTTTAAAGAAAAAAAAAAAAAAAAAAAACAGCTATCTTTTCAGAGTAGCTTTTGAGACAAACCCAACCTGTATGCTTTGGTGCTTGGAGATCTATACCCAGATAAACCATGGCATTTCCCACTAAGTGTGACTGCACCCTGAGTGGTTGCTTCTTTTCTGGTGATGTCTGTGCTTCCCACAGCTTACTGAAAGCTGCAATCTTTTCATAAGGCCTGGATCACTGTTGACTATGCTCCATGTTAGAACAAAATCAAGATGTCAAAAGAGAAATAACAAAAGGAACTGCCTTAAACCACTTGAGCTCAGCCCTCCAAAGCCTGGATTACACTTACAATGCCCCTTTCTGAGATACTAATTTTGTTAATAATTATCAACTCTGAAATGTATCAACTCTGATTTTTTTACAAATACAGACTATATTTCTAGGATGAAATTAAACCAATTATAGGCCTTTCTTCTTGGTTTTCTCTCATATTAAGGCTTTAGAACATTATAAACTTGCCGTGGTGGTGCACGCCTTTAATCCCAGCACTCGGGAGGCAGAGGCAGGTGGATCTCTGTGAGTTCAAAGCCAGCCTGGTCTCCATAGTGAATCCAGGCCAGCTGGGGCTACAGGGAGACCCTGTCTCAATAAGACCAAAAAAAGAACATTATAAGCTTGAGTACATTTGTTGTACATAATTGATATCCCAAATTATGTGTATGAGGGGAGGTGTTTTTAAGCTAAAACCTTTATGCATTTGTAGAGATTTAAAAATCTTTTTAGACATGTAAAATACTCTGATTCCTTATAGTCTTGCTTAGTCTAAAACATTTTTATTCAATAAAGCTTTTAATGAACAGTTCAACTTTCCAGTGTTCTTTTTCCACTGTTTCTTTACAGTCCTGTCTCCTAGGGTCTACTTTTTCCTTCGAAGGGAAAAGGCAAACAAAAGCAGGGCCATGAATGCATTTCACCATTAGGTGGTGATGTTGAGCTGATTGTGGACTTTGAACCATCCTGAAAGAAGACAAATTTTTCTGGAAAATTGCAAGCAACTTGGCAAGAGAATTCATATGTGCATTCAAAATGAGCTGTTTGTTTTACAAATTCAAAATCCAGTGGTGGTTTTTACTGTTTATTGTATTCAACTAGTAATTCACCTAACAATTATGCCTGACATACAAAATAGAACTTCAAATGTCAGCTGAAAATTGATGTATTTTTCACTCTGGAAGAAACTTGTTGTTTGATGTCTTCTATAGACTCAACTGCAAGATTTTCTGTTTGTTGTTTGTTTTAATAATAGAGTGGAGGTGGCCTTGGTGGCGTATACCTTTAACCCCAGCAACTTATGAAGCAGAGGCAGGTGGATCTCTGTGAGTTTCTGGCCAGCCTGGTCTACATAATGAATTTTCAGGGCCACATCATGAGACCTTGTCTCAGAAAGAAGAAGAAGAAAATAGTACAGTGGAAAGCCAGATGGTGTAGTGGCTCATACCTGTAACCCTAGTACTTGAGCGACTGAGGCAGGAGGCCAGCCTAGACTACAGAATGAGGCCCTAATCTCAAAAATCTGGGGTGGTGACACGTCTGTAATCACAGCATTGAGGAGGCTGAGGTAGGTGGATCACCAGAAGTTCGAGGCTAGCCTGAATTACAAGTAAGACCCTGCCTCACAGTTTTATTTTTATTTATTTTTGGTCTTTTTGAGACGGTCTCCCTGTAGCCCCAGCTGGCCTGGAACTCACTATGTAGACCACAGTGGCCTTGAACGCACAGAGATCCACCTGCCTCTGCCTCCCTAGTGCTGAGATTAAAGGCGTGTGCCACCATGCCTGGCCTTAATTTTTTAATTTTTACTATTATGTTTCCTTGGAGATAAGGATGCTTTGGAGGAAATCAGTTATGTTTTCCAGTGGCTTCTCTGGTCTTACGAATGTATGGCAGATCTGTTACATTTTCCAGTGGCTTCTCTGATCTTAAGAGCGTATGGCAGATTGCCATTTCTGTTCTTACCTCCACCCCATGCTGAAATCTTTTAGGAATCAACATGTAGTGAACAGTTTTACTGACATACAAAACATCCAGTCCTGACTTGAGCTTGGCTACCTTTACTGTGTGATTGCTCTTCTGACCTGGCTACATTTGTACAAAGCAGTTTGAGTGCCTAGGGCTATCCATTGAGTATGTTTCCATATGTCAGGGCCTTGGGGACTGAGATTACCCTGAGAACCCATTTTGTACCTTTCAAAGATTGAGATGGATATGTCATTACTATAAAGGTATAGAGAACAGAAGCAAAGAGTTGCTCCAGTTTTGCTATAATAATAAGGTGTCTTTGTGTCATACAATGACCAAATCATACAAACATCCTTAGGAAATGACAAAGCAGGGGCTGGAGAGATTGCTCAGCGGTTAAGAATACCATCTGTTCTTGCAGAAGACCTGGGTTCGAATCCCAGCACCCACATGGCAGCTAACAACTGTCTGTAATTCCAGTTCCAGGGGATCTGACAGGCTCTTCTGTCCTCTTCGGGCATTGCACAACATGTATGCATGTACCTACATACAGACAATGCATGCATACACATAAAATGGCTCAACAGTTAAAGAGCATTGACAGCTCTTGCAGAGGACCCAGGTTCGATTCCCAGAACCCACATGGCGGGCTACGAACCGTCCTTAACTGCAGTTCCAGGGGAATCTGAAGCCCTCTTCTGGCCTCCACGGCATTGCATGACACAGGTGCACTCATATACATGCAGGCAATACACTCATACACATAAAATAAATAAAATATTTAAAAAATAAAAGTAATGAAATATTTTTAAAAAAGAAAAGGCACAGCGAGTTCCAGGCCAGCTGGAGCTACAGGGAGACCCTGTCTCAAAAAAAATTTTTTTTAAAAAGAGAAAAAAAAAGAAAACGGCAAAGCAATCCTAAAGCCAAACAAAAAGATGAGTTTTTTTTCTTTAAGGAAAGCAGGAAAGGGACCCTGGTTCAGGAGAGTGTGCTTATGACTACTACAAGTCCGACCGCTAGCTTGCTGTTTGCACTGCACCAGGTCAAAATGGAAACTGCTCGGTTTGCTTTTGTCACAAATAGCTAGCTGGGGGGACCTGTTCAGGGTATAAGTCACAGATAGGAAAAGGGCCTCTGAGTGCTCACAGCTGAGTTCCAGAGGCTCACAAGCTGGAATTCGAACCCTGCAGAGTTTTAGCCGAGTTCTGAGAACCAGAGGTTTACTGCCTATGTTTTAGAGTGTCAACACCTAGTGGCCAGGTAGCTACCGGGGACCCTGAGCTCTTCATCCTTTAGCCTGCTTTCTCAAACTCTTCCTTCAGCCAAGACTCAGGAAGCTCAGCTTTTGCCTTCAGCTTTCCATAGCCTCCTTTACCCTGCACTGCAGTCCCCGCTCTCTGTCATCTCACATCTCAGCACTTCTGCCTTCTTACCTTCTTGCAGACTCCGGCCTAGGTCAGGGCTTCTTAAACTTTCCAGTGATGACATTTTTCATGTAAGAAGTTTTTTAAAATATTTTTATTATTTTTGTTTTATGTGTATGTGTATATTGCCCGTGTGTAGGTAAGTTCACCCATGTTGTGCAGTGCCTGCAGAGGTCAGAAGAAGGTATCAGATTCCCCTGAAACTGGAGTTACAGTTAGCCACCACATGGGTTCTAGGAATTGAACCCAGGCCCTCTGTAAGAGCAGTCAGTGCTCTTAACTACTGAGCCATCTCTCCAACCTGATTTTGTTCCTTTTAAGACAAGGTCTCATCATGTAGCCCATGCTGAGCCATCTCACTGGCCTGAGAAACATAACTCAATGTTCCGATAAAGTGCCTCTACTGTGCTCCTATAAAATTTATCTCTCTATTCTAGGTTCTGTTAATAATCTTCCCTCTCTGTTTTCAGTCATTCTCTATTAGAACTGGAGTTACAGACAGTTGTTAGCTGCCATGTGGGTGCTGGGATTCGAACCCAGGTCTTCTGCAAGAGCAGTCAGCGCTCTTAACCGCTGGGCCATCTCTCCAGCCCCAAGACACAAGAATGTATATGACTCCATGTATATAAATGTATAAAATGTATACATTTATATAGATGTATAAAATATATATAGACAAGAATTTATATGACTCCATTTATATAGATGTATAAAATGGGTATAGAAATAAAGCATTTACTTTTTTTTTTTTTGGTCTTTTTGAGACAGGGTTTCTCTGTAGCCCCATCTGTCCTGGAACTCACTATGTAGGCCAGGCTGGGCTTGAACACAGAGATCCACCTGCCTCTGTCTCCCGAGTGCTGGAATTAAGGGTGCACCACCATCCCCGGCTGCTTATTTTTACATAGAATTAAATATAGGATATTTTCACCTTAAATCTCAATATTTGTTATTGTAGGATGTAGTATATCTTCAACATTTTTCAGAATTGCTTGATAGTTAGATTTTATAATTGTCAATGCCAAGAATACCACTTCTCATAAATACATAGTAAAAAATGGTAGAAATATGGGGCTGGAGAGATGGCTCAGCTTTTAAACTTACTGCTTTACCAGAGAATGAAAGTTCAGTTCATAGTACCCATGCAGGTGGCTCATAACCACCTGTAATACTGCCCCTAGGGGAAATCCAATGTCTGACCTCCTCAGGTACCTTCACTCACTTGTACATATAATTAAAAATAAAATCTCTAAGAAAAAAGTGGCAAAAGTATGTTGAGGGCTATTTTAGAAATTGTTGAAAATTTTGTCAAAATTTAATCCAAAATTAATGATTTTAAAATTTTTAAAAGATTATTTTAGGCTGGGCATGGTGGTGCATGCCTTTAATCCCAGCACTTGGGAGGCAGAGGCAGGTGGATCTCTGTGAGTT